AGCGACCCTGAGAAGGAGATCGAGTCAGCCCTGGAGCTAATCAAGCCCATCGAGCAGAAGTTTGTCAGCGTCAGTGACCAGTACGCACCAACTGACATGGGCACCGACAGCCAGGTACGACCCCTCTTCTACCGCTCGAGCAATCTCTCCTTTCCACTGTTTGTTTCTTTACAACAGGGGTTTCAAACTCAAAGCCCAAAGCCTGTGGGCCAAATCCAGCCCGCAACCTCATTTCATGTGGCCCACAAGAGCTTGCAAAGAATATTATATACAATACAATTGGTGTAGTTGTTGAATATTTGCTTTCAATGATATGCCCTAGAATTCTGCTTTCAGACGTAGTTACTTATGAAGTTATTATTGGAACTGATAATAATCAAATGCAGAGCCAATAATGTTATATAATACATTATTTCACACTGCATTCAACCACTGACCCCCCCCCCCCCCCCCCCCCCCCCCTATTTTCTGTTTTGTTTATCTTTTTTTGTATTTTTTAATTCTCTGTCAAAGCATCTTTGAGTTTCCTGAAAAGCGCTATAAAAGTACCATGTATTATTATTATTATTATTATTATTAATAATACTTTTAATTAATTATTAATATTTAGCACCTTGGGATTGCTGCTAGCAATGAAAGGTGCTTTATAAATTGAATTTAGTATTATTATTATTTAATATATATTTATATATATTATATATTTATATAGAGAAGCCAACTCCGTATAGACAGACACAGCCAAAACAAGCTTCCCCTCCATTTTTTTAACAGTGACGTCCTCAGCTTCTCTGTCATTTAAGAGGATTTTAAACTCGAAACGTTTGGCAGAGCACTCCCCTTTTTTTGGGAACGATTGAGAAAGACAGTGACACTCTAAAAAAAACACTATGTGGATGTCAGCTATAGAAACGTTTGAGAAAAGTAACACAATTGACTGTATACCTGCTCAGGATTTGAGACAGCTTGCCTTTGAGACAATGGCCCAAAATATATAACAACATTCCTGTTGCACCTTACAAACCTAGCTCAGGATTCCTGTTGGTTCACATTTTTCAGTCAGCTCAACTGCTCAATAAAAAGGATACTATAGTATACCCTCGACCAAAGTTGGGTTTAAAAGAAGAATAAGGCACTCACTGTAACAGATTAATCGACCTGGCTTTTATTTAACAAGCATACCTCATTACGTCTTTGCAGCACTTAGCTTTTTTCCTGCTATTGCGTGCGGGGCAGTGCAAGTAATGTCAGCAACAAACAACCCGCACAGGAAACACTTCTAAGATACGTTTCCTGCCGCCTGTAAAAACAGAAAGCAGGTGCTAGGGAAACTTTTTTGTAATCTGTCCAAGCAAAGTTATTTTCTCCCATGGTGAATAAAAAACAGAGAAGAACTCCCGATTAAAAACAAATATAACAAGATATAGTTTTGCTCTTCTTAAATGCCGACCCCTTTTACTTCAACAAAGCAAGACTTTTCTCCATATTTGATTATTTTACCAGGGAGTCATGTGAGAAGAACTTGAGCTGACACTGGGTCATTAATTGATGCCCAAATTGTCATTTTGTAAAATGCAGTCGTCCTTCAAGAATCAAGCCTATATCTGCCCTGTTCATCTATCTCCATGTGCACTGAAAGAACTCTTGAATTTATTAATTTGTATTATTTATTTAGTGATATAGCAATTACAGGACAAGTGCAGACGAGTACAGTGTCACGAAAAAGAGAGTGAAGGGTATTTACAAGTCCTGTGGGTATTGTCCACAGTAATAACCGTTACACGTCTAATATGTGTGATATGTCATGTAAAGCGCTCTAATAAAAATGTAATGAATTATTTAATATTATTATTAAATACATAAAAAAACAGACCAGAACAAATTGAGTAATACAACTTTTTTCCCAGACGTGTGTCTCTGTGTGAGATTGAGAAAGGAAAAGAAAAAATTATGATAATAAACACAAAATATATAGCGATAACGCATTTTTTTTTTTACCGCCACTAATTATTTTAACGTGCGATTAACGCATGTGTATTTGTCCTCGGCCCGCCCCGTAGTTTCAGAGCCCAAAGGCTTGACGTTGTTGTTGTTGTTAGTTGGGTGGTGGGAGATTCTAGCGAGAGATATGGATACAAGCAAGCCAAGCACACAGCTGATGCTGACAGCCCCGCTCCTGCTGCTCGCTTGCGGCAGACCACGCTTGAAGGTTTGTCGGGGAGACGCCTGGACACTTCTACGAGCAGCAAGCTTTTAACAGCGATAGCTAAATGGGGGGGCTACAGCTTAACATTGTGGAGGACGAGGGGCTGCGTTAGATAATTCGGATTGCATCCAACGTGTCGACTGCACATCACAGCGCATTATTTTGACCCACAGTGGGAACTTCAGTCTCATGCTTTGACTGTTATGAAGACAGAGGAGCGGCCACTGTAAACAGGCTTGTCTGTTTGAGCAACTGGCTCAGTGCAGAGAAGTACACAGGGTTGGGAGAGAGTGAAGAGAGAGAGAGAGAGAGAGAGAGAGAGGTTCCAGGTTGTTGTATTGAAAATATTCAGGAGAATATTTGTCATTGTTCCAATGATAATAAACATTATTTGCATAAAGCATATTTGTCCACTCATATGTTGATAAGAGTATTACAAACTTGAAAAAGATTCCTCTAAGGTACATTTAGAACAGATAAAAAATGTGAGATTAACTATTTTAATCGACTGACAGCCCTAGTAACAATAGAATAGCCCTTTATTCTAAATACATGTTAAATACATTTCTGTAAATTATAGAAATAATAATAATAATAATAATAATAATAATAATAATAACAAAAACCCACGATAAAAAAAAAATGCCTCTTTGACCGCTGTTTGTTTTCCCTCCTCTAGATGTTCATCTCCCGTACTTACGATGCCACGACTCACTTCGAGACCACCTGTGACGACATCAAAGACATCTACCAGAGGATGACCGGCTCAGAATTTGACTTTTCCGAGATGGAGCGCACGAAGCAAGACTGCTTCGGAGACGTAGAGTAGAGTCCGAGCATCCACAACACTCCTGATTATCAAAGACGACGACGCTGCCGACAACTGAAATCTTACAATTCAAATTAGAAATCCTTCACAAAAATGTAAACACCAATGGGCTGGCTGATCATCCAAGTACATGGCTTGCCCTCTTGAGGAAGCTCATGATATATCTAGAGATTTGTTATAGTTATTGTGGGATATTTTTCAGGGAGGGGGCTATGCTTTATCAAATCTCATTCTGTTGGATGTTGCACTAAACACTGGTTATGCCTAATATACAGTTAATACCCGACATACTTCTGCTTATCATGTTGATTTATAGCCCAAAGATGCCAAATCAAATGACGATTCATATTCAAAAGTATCTTACATAGTGGATATATGTTGGGGTGGGAGTGGGGGGGGTTACATTTTTCTGTTATTGTAAAAGAAAAAAGCGCTTGGAAGTAAATATCTATACGTCAGTTATTGGTCTTTACAAGTATTTGTTCATGTCAGGGTGAGGAAGGTGGCTTGGTTTTGTGCATCTGACAGCCATGAGAGAGGGTCCCTGTTCATATCATCAGAACGAGGGGTAAGGGGTGATTGGATTAGATATTTTTGTGTCTTTTTAACCCCTTTTACTGTCTAGTCTCCAGCATAGCCAGACACAATAAAGACCAAGCCACAAAGGGTGACTGTAGTCCAGCGTAAACTACCCAAAGCTGTTTAAAACGGCTTTATATACCATGATGCATTAGAGATACATTAGTTCCTGTATCATGCACAGTGATGGAAGAGCAGTAACAGCAGATTAATGGGAAGTGTGGATGAGTGTATTTGCTTAAGAAGGACCAAATGTGTACTGCAGCAGTATTGAATTGATGAGAGCCCTGTGTGATATACTCTTGTCTTCAAACCACTTAAATGAAACATCTTGGGCTCAAATGATTTCTGTACTGCAAAGTAAAAACAACTTTGTCAAAAATGAAAGCGTTGTTTGATCCATTTCTTCTTAGATATCAGATGTGTGTGTGTGTGGAGGGAAAAGTGAACGTGTGAATTGAACCACAGACTTTCAATTAAGTAACTTAGAATAATTAATTGTATGTTTTAAGGTGTTCTTGTAACTCGCAACACTAGCCGTCCGAAGAGTTGCATTCTACTCAAATTCTAATTTTAGGGTGTAGAGTTTTTAACATGTTACTGCATATCTGGTGGGTTTTAAAATGTACGATTGCTTCAGAAGTTTCCATCACAATGAATAGGTAACTCTTCAGTACTAGATCTAAACATTGGTTAGTTTGAATTGAATTGGGAGGGATGAAACCCTCTTTAATGGTCACACATGCAGAGCACACAGCACACACACAGTGAAATTTGTTCTCTGCTTTTAACCCATCCTAGTACCAGGAGTCTAGTACTAGGAGCAGTGGGCAGCTATTGTTACTTCCCAGTGTTGTGTGTAGGCTATTATTACAAATGACAAGAAAGCAAGTGGAAATATTAGGGAAATGGGTGTTTAGCTGTGCAAAATGGGATATGTTTTAATATATTAAAGATTTGAATAGATCAGCTAAGCTATGAATATATACAGTATGTTTAAAACAACATTACTAGAAGTTGGGAATAAGTCCATTTCTCTCTCCAAGCAAAGGACAAATAAATTTGAGGGTGGATTTGTTGTACAGTAATTAACTACTTAAATGACCCATTTGAACTAATGCCATGCATGTAGTAGAAGAAATAGCAAGTAACACATGGTTAATCCTGTTATCTTGTAATATCTGTGACCTTCAAAGACCATTACAAAAAAAACATTAAAATAATATGATATAAATACAAATAATTGAAATAAGTTCCCAAATTGGGATCAATAAAGTATCTATCTATCAAACGTAAGAACTACAACTCCCAGCATGCACTTCGAGTTCTAGGTATGTCACATGACTCACTCCGCATGTAAACCAACCAGTGCTTCTTTCAGGATGTAAACATCACCAGCTCGCTGTTTACATCTCATGTCTCTGCGTCTGCTGCGTTATTCCTTCCCAAAAAAATAAGACGGAATGGAAATTCAAAGTGACCGAGATTATTTCTTTGGAGACATTGGTGAGTGTGAGAAATAGAGAACATTTCCGGTCAGAATATCTAGTTTTTTTGGGACCTTTTTCGGCCCGGTTTGACCGGCATGTAACGGTATCCAAAACATCGTTATGTGTCATGAGGAATGCTAACATGCTAATTAGCTGTAGCTCGAGTGTTGGACTTGAGTGGACATTTACTCAAGTCCAACACTTAAGTACAATTTTGAGGTTAGGCCTACTTGTTTTTATTTTAATATTTTCATTTCATTCCACTTTATACGCCTTTACAGTTCAGGGATAAACATTATATTTCTAGTAGTTGTTTTCTTTGAGCCAATAAGGAATTATGACAGGTGACAATAACATATTTTTTCACCCCTTGGTAATTTCACAGGCTTTTTGGCTGCAAACATAGTAAAAAAATACATTTAAATATAGGACTTTTACTTCTGACAGTGGTATTGTCAAGTAAGTGCAGTGTACTTATTAATTCTGAGTACTTAAATCCCATTTGTAGCTTCTTTTACACGTGTTACTACTGCAATAAGTGTGTATGGATACTGACAACAAACTATGGTGTGCATATACAGTAAGGAATGTTATGGTTAAATCAGTCCTTGTACAGTATTTGAGGAGACATGTACTAGAAGACTACTTTTCTAAGATGTGATACAATTATGTAATGTACTACTACTATATACAAAATGTACAGAGTGTACATTAAACAACATATTTACAGCAGAGCTCAAATTATTAGGTAACAGTTGTATATTTATACACTCATACAAGAGGATTGACAAACATCTTAAGGTACGATAAGAGAAGATGGACCTTTATTTAAGGTTAACAGCAACAGGGTAAGAATGAAAAACAGGACAGCACAGATTCACACAGATTAGACATTAATACAATTACAGATAACATCAAAGATAACAATACAATTATAGACAGTTAAGTAACTTTAAAATATGAAATGAATTAAAATTAACATATACAGATTCAATTTCAAGATTCAAGGCTTTTATTGTCATGTGTGCATAGCTACAGTGTAGTTATGTCAATGAAAATCTTAGTTCCCAGGCTCCTCCAACAGTGCAACACAATAAAATAGAATAGAAATAGCGCCAGGAGAGTCTATATACAAGTAATTGGAATATGATATATTAAATAAATAATGTGTAAGTTGCAACCAGATGAATGTTATTGATGTCCTTTCAAAAGTTCAGGTGTTTAACAGTCTTATGGCCTGTGGGATGAAACTGTCCCTGAGTCTGGTGGTTTTAGACCTGATGCTGCGGTACCACCTGCCAGGTATTTGGGTCATATTTGGTGAACATCCTGATGTCTCCCCTCCTGCAGGCTGCTGGTCTGAGAGGACGGAGGTGCACAAAGCTGCGTCTCAGGGCCAGACGTCCCAGCTGCAGAGTCTGATCCTCAGCGGAGCTTCAGTCAACGTGGTGGCGGTCGACTCCATCACCCCGCTGCACGAGGCCTGTCTGCGGGGACAGACTCAGTGTGTCCGCCTGCTGCTGGACGCCGGAGCCCTGGTGAGACAGACAGGACGGACAGGTGTAACATCCTTTTTTCCATACCCAAATCTCTAAAAACGGAGGTACAACAGAGCTGATCCAGATTTGCGTCCGATATGACGTAATATCGGAAATGTGGACCCACGGCCCTATCAGAAACGTTGCTATCAGAAACAATGCCTGACGTGTTTTGGACGTAATATGGTCTTTGTTTACATTAGCATCGCTAACACTCAGAGCTAACCTGTACTGGAGAGAGTATGTGTAAAAAAGCAGGAACTCACCTTGTGGTAAACCTGAGAGAGAAAAAGCATTTGAGCTCCATACTGTTTCAGAAGTAATCCTTGATGTGGTTTGGAACATGATATGGCATTTAATCACGGCAGCATTTAGCTGTATCTCCGTAGAATTCTGAGCAGGCACAAGCTCCCCCTCCTTTTTTGTTGTTGTCTAAGATGTCTAAAATGCATGATCTGTTTGTTATTTTTTAGCAAAACACATCATAGACAAGTTTTTGTATATATTTGTATATATCTGAGACCCATAATATATTGAAAAACAGTATAATAGGGGACCTTTAATGCTATCTCAGGTGGATGCGAGGAACGTGGACGGCAGCACCCCGCTGTGTGAGGCCTCCTCAGCGGGGAGTCTGGAGTGTGTGAGGCTCCTTCTGGATCGAGGCGCCAAATCCAACCCTGCCCTCACCTCCCGAACCCCCTCCCCCCTCCACGAGGCCTGCATGGGAGGTGAGGGCCTCCACATGCCTTTTTAAAATCCTGTCTCTTTATATTTGTTAGAAAAATATCACTCGTCCCCAGCTTGAGCTTCAACATCAGGATCCATGTATTTGTGATCCTCTCCAGAATGGAAGTAGTCATCACACACAGAGCATCAACTAGTTCCTGAACAGTGTCCTTCACATGCTGATATCCAAGAGAGGGAGTTACACAGTCACAAGATGGAGGACTATAAAGCAGTCTTCAATGTTTACTTCAGATTAGCTCCACGTCAGAAATGATCATGCTTGTCATATGTCTCTCTCCATAGAGGCTGAATCATCATGTTAATCACATAGCTATCATATGCCTCAAACAGTCCTGATGCTCTTCTAGGTAATCATACATCCTGTCATGCACTCAGCTACAGTTGGGATACCTTTGTTATCATGTTACTCTCATATTGGAAGAGGACATTCACTATTTCCCCAACAACAATAATAATACATTTTATTTATAAAGGCGCCGTAAGGCTCTCAAGGTCGCCGTACAATACATCTCAATCTTTATTTATTGATATAGCACATTTAAAACAACCTCAGTTGACCAAAGTGCTGTACAGGGAACAAATATAAAATAACACAATAGGAGTAAAATAATAAAACAATAATTAAAAACGAGGTAAAAAGCACAATAACTAGAAACATATAAAAACACATACAAATATCAAAATGTTATGTTCAACTAGTATTAGACACACCCTACTGTACAAGGTACACAAAACACAAAAGTCAAAAAAAACACGACAATATAGTCAATCAATAAAAACGGAAAAGTACAGATACTCGTGTTTAAAAATACTCTGGTGAAAGTAGAAGTACTGACTAAACTTCTTTACTCAAGTTAAAGTAAAGAGGGCTTTGAAATGTACTTCAGTAAAAAGTACCCATAACTAGCAGCTGTTTTAAAGAGTACCTGACCTCCCTTTATATTAATAGAACAATAATGTCATTGTTAGCTAATGAATGTTTCCATGCTGAACAACGGCAACATGACAACGTTTTCATTGGTCCCTCTTCTTTAGAGAAGACCAGGAAATGATGGATACACGGATCGTGTTCAAATCAATAGGCACTCTAAATAATAATGATCACGCCACCAAACACACATTCAAACTAAAGGAACCAGCCTGTTTGGGAAATGTAAGAAGTAGAAAGTACAGGTATTTGTGTTCAAAATGTAAGAAGTAGAAAGTACAGGTATTTGGGTTCAACATGTAAGAAGTAGAAAGTACAGGTATTTGTGTTCAACATGTAAGAAGTAGAAAGTACAGGTATTTGGGTTCAACATGTAAGAAGTAGAAAGTACAGGTATTTGGGTTCAACATGTAAGAAGTAGAAAGTACAGGTATTTGTGTTCAAAATGTAAGAAGTAGAAAGTTCAGGTATTTGTGTTCAAAATGTAAGAAGTAGAAAGTACAGGTATTTGTGTTCAAAATGTAAGAAGTAGAAAGTACAGGTATTTGGGTTCAACATGTAAGAAGTAGAAAGTACAGGTATTTGTGTTCAAAATGTAAGAAGTAGAAAGTTCAGGTATTTGTGTTCAAAATGTAAGAAGTAGAAAGTACAGGTATTTGGGTTCAACATGTAAGAAGTAGAAAGTACAGGTATTTGTGTTCAAAATGTAAGAAGTAGAAAGTACAGGTATTTGTGTTCAAAATGTAAGAAGTCGTCGGAGTAAAGTACTGATACCAGAAAGATGTACTTAAGTACAGTAAAGAAGTATTTGTACTCCGATACTTCCCTCCTCTGGGTGGGAGGGAGTTCCAGAGGCGGGTTTATAAATAACATTATTTGACTCAATATCCTCCTGTTATTCTCCAGGTAAAGAAGACTGCGTGAAGCTCCTGATCGCCATGGGTGCAAATCTGGAGGCGTACGATATTTACTACGGGACCCCGCTACATGTAGCTTGTGCTAACGAACATACAGACTGTGTGAAAGTGTTGCTCAACGCAGGTCAGTGCAAAGCAGGGTTGGGAAATGTACCGGACCAGATGTCACACGGCTTTATATTTGGATCTTGTTTACCCTCAGATTGTATTTCTAAATCTAGGAACATAGATTATGGTGGAGCTGTTTTCAATGCTGAGGGAATTTAAGGACAGGTCAGCTGTAATAATATCTCCTGCCACCTGGGCTAAAACTGGGTTTACACGAGGGTTGGGCAATTATTCAATATGATCATTTAATGTCATTCAATGGAGTCATATTGTGATAAAATCATATAGAAAGATATGTGACAAACAATTAGATTGATAAAAACAAGGACATACTAGCTTGAACATCAGCAGGAGAGGACTCTTTAAAGTAGAGACACTACATACTGATATACACCTGAACATCAGCAGGAGAGGACTCTTTAAAGTAGAGACACTACATACTGATATACACCTGAACATCAGCAGGAGAGCACTCTTTAAAGTAGAGACACTACATACTGATATACACCTGAACATCAGCAGGAGAGGACTCTTTAAAGTAGAGACACTAAATACTGATATACACCTGAACATCAGCAGGAGAGGACTCTTTAAAGTAGAGACACTACATACTGATATACACCTGAACATCAGCAGGAGAGGACTCTTTAAAGTAGAGACACTACATACTGATATACACCTGAACATCAGCAGGAGAGGACTCTTTAAAGTAGAAACACTACATACTGATATACACCTGAACATCAGCAGCAGAGGACTCTTTAAAGTACGGACACTATGTATACACCTGAACATCAGCAGGAGAGGACTCTTTAAAGTAGAGACACTACATACTGATATACACCTGAACATCAGCAGGAGAGGACTCTTTAAAGTACGGACACTATGTATACACCTGAACATCAGCAGGAGAGGACTCTTTAAAGTAGAGACACTACATACTGATATACACCTGAACATCAGCAGGAGAGGACTCTTTAAAGTAGAGACACTACATACTGATATACACCTGAACATCAGCAGGAGAGGACTCTTTAAAGTAGAGACACTACATACTGATATACACCTGAACATCAGCAGGAGAGGACTCTTTAAAGTAGAGACACTACATACTGATATACACCTGAACATCAACAGGAGAGGACTCTTTAAAGTAGAGACACTACATACTGATATACACCTGAACATCAGCAGGAGAGGACTCTTTAAAGTAGAGACACTACATACTGATATACACCTGAACATCAGCAGGAGAGGACTCTTTAAAGTAGAGACACTACATACTGATATACACCTGAACATCAGCAGGAGAGGACTCTTTAAAGTAGAGACACTACATACTGATAAACACCTGAACATCAGCAGGAGAGGACTCTTTAAAGTAGAGACACTACATACTGATATGAAACCTGGAAATTAGCAGAATAAGGCTCTTTTTAATAAGAAATAATTTAATTCACAAAGGAGTATAGTACAAAAATAAGCTTTACCATGTCATTATTTCAAATAGACTACTCTTTTATTGATTCAACTGAATTTTGTTGTACCATTGGGGCTCATTAAAGCATAAAAAATGCAGACAAATGTGTAAAAAAAGAAAGGAAACATGTATTTGCAACTGTCTTTTGAATAATTGAACAACCAATAACCAGGTTAGATAAGTCAGACATTGTGTATTTGTTGATATAATAACTAGCTGACATTAAAGCTCTTTTCCCTTCAGGTGCTAAGGTGAACGCGGCCCGGCTTCACGAGACGCCGCTGCACCACGCTACTAAAAACAAGCAGGTGGAGATGGTGGAGATCCTGGTGGAGTTCGGAGCCAACGTCCACGCCAGGGATCATCACGACAAGAAACCTGTAGATTACACAACCCCCGGCTCCCCCTCTGCTACCTGTCTACAGTTTTATGAGAGTGAGTTCCTCTAAAACACTACCAGGAAGTGTATCAGTGTAGTAGCGACTTATCACCAGCAGATGGCGAGCAAGGATCGCATTTTAGTTCCTATAGTTACTTTACAGATGTGGATGAATGATGTGAAATCTAATCAAGTGTTAAATCAGACTTTAGTTCCACCTGGAGTAAATCCACAAGCTACCCTGCAGTATACAAAGTCATTCAAACTAGCTGCACCTTTACCAGCTTTGAGAACACTTTCATGATCAATCATTATAAAACATATCATATATATTATTCTGAAATGGACCAATCTGCACAATCACTACTTTTACTGTCGCTACTTTAACTATATTTTGATGATAATACTTTTCTACTTTTACTTGAGTAACATTTTGAATGCAGGACTTTTACTGTAACAGAGTATTCCTACACTCTGGTACTTCTACTTTTACTCAAGTACAAGATCTGAATACTTCTACTTTAACTCAAGTACAAGATCTGAGTACTTCTACTTTTACTCAAGTACAAGATCTGAGTACTTCTACTTTTACTAAAGTACAAGATCTGAGTACTTCTACTTTTACTCAAGTACAAGACCTGAGTACTTCTACTTTTACTCAAGTACAAGATCTGAGTACTTCTACTTTTACTCAAGTACAAGACCTGAGTACTTCTACTTTTACTCAAGTACAAGACCTGAGTACTTCTACTTTTACTCAAGTACAAGATCTGAGTACTTCTACTCTTACTCAAGTACAAGATCTGAGTACTTCTACTTTTACTCAAGTACAAGATCTGAGTACTTCTACTTTTACTCAAGTACAAGATCTGAGTACTTCTACTTTAACTCAAGTACAAGATCTGAGTACTTCTACTTTTACTCAAGTACAAGATCTGAGTACTTCTCCCACCTCTAATAATAATAATCCATATTTCACAGCACCTAACCCTCTTTTCTCTCCAGCCACCCCCATGAACCTGCAGCAGCTCAGCCGGCTGGCTTTGAGGGCGATGCTGGAAACCAGAGCTCTGGAAGTCATAGAAAAACTGGACATACCTAAACTCATCATCGGCTACCTGTGCTATCAGTGAGGAGGAGGAGGAGGAGGAGGAGGGGTTGAGTCGGTAAAATGTGAAACCTCAAAGAGCTGCTGCACAGAGAAACACAAACTCAAAGGTACCATTTAATATGGGAATAGGGGATGAGCACTCTGCTTCTCAATGTCAATGAATGCACAGAATGATAAACACACTGCGGTGCTACACTTTACATTTGAGAAGGTTTTCGGAACAATGCAGAAAGTCACATTCACGTCCAACAAAGTTGCAAACTACTACAATTTCCTCACTCTCTTACGAGCTCTCGCGAGACTTCCTGTCAAGTTCTCATTGCAAACGCACCTTTCATGTCGCAATGATGACACCTATTGTCAATCATTGGAAACATATTAACAACAACACTGACAATAAACAACATTGCTCTCTAAACTAACGCAAAGAAATGTTACAAAAGTCTCCTAACTTCCACTATTAAATGACCACGACTGAATTGTACGCCACAAACACACGGAAGGATTTCTAAATGCCATTAAATGCACATTTTCACTATTTTTCCCAAGTACACAACACATGCAGTTTACTGAGGTCGCCTTTCAGGACTTTTGGCAGTTTTCACATCGTTCTCTTTTAGCCGCCAGCAGGCACACTTAGCTTACTCAGCTTTGAAGAGGCCATCTGTCGGCTCTCATATGAAGTTCTGCACCTGCTTACTGTTGGTTTGATCTTGACCAAGTATCAAAAGCACATTTTATGCTTTCAAACCCTCGTCCAAATCTTTAATTTCTGCCCTTTTTTGCCCTGAACGTGCACTGGCTTCACGATGCTGGCCTGAATATACGCAGCTCGTCTGCTGCACTCCATAAATATGCCAATGTGGCTGTTACACTTTAATCAAAATATAAATTCCTGGCAACCAATCTTCCCATCATTACAAGTGACTTGTTTTCATGGTACAAAAATGCAGCCTGGTTCATTTTAATCTCGGCCTGTAAATAATCCAGAAGCACAGATCTGCCCTTCTTCCCATGGACTGTTCTCTTTAAGTCTTAAAATATCCGACCCTGATACCGACGGGGTTTCTTCTTATAGCTCCTTAACAGCAGAAGGACTGGAAAAAAGCAGAATAGAGTAGGGCAGGCATGCAGGGAATGTTATCTCAGATGAGAAATGATCCTTGTTTTGCTTCAGGTTGGTTTCTGTGGATCTCTCCTGCTGCTCCGTCGGGTTAAACGTATTTCTTTGTGTCTTATTCAAGTGAATAATATCTTAAAGTGGACCTATCATGCTATATTTGAATAATATAGTGTAGGACCATACCTATATAAGGCATATTTATACTTTCTTTTTTCAAAATACCAAACAGATCATGCATTTTAGCCATGCCTCATTTTGCTCAATTTGAAAAATGTTAGCTCTGTTTTTGCAAGGGCTGATTCTGTGAGAACAGCACCATCTACAGGCCTGGCATATGTACTACAGCGTCTCCAGCGCTTTCAAACGGCAATGGTCGTGGCTGTCTCCTCCTGATTGGTGGAGTTGGCCCAATAGCCGTAGCGCCACCGTCCTGACGTCAGGACAGTGTTCAAATCTGGATCAGTTTTGATCAGATCCGTTGCAGCCCCTTTTTTAGAGATTTGGGTATGGAGGAAAATAGAGAGGGTTGTGTTTTCTGACACTTGGTGAGTTCCCTGGAACACCGGGGACACATATTCATGTATAAAAGACGTACAAAAGTGCATTTTGCATGATAGGTCCCCTTTAAAGTGCTGATAAATAAACGCATGGACATGCTTTACTGTTAGTATGTATCTTATGAAGCTGTACAGACGTGTTGCTATGATGGTTCATGTTAATTTATTGAATAAATTATACTGTTGGTGTGCTTGTTACACTTTATATTTTTGCATGAATCTGGATTTCACACGTTTGCTGTCCTCATTCTGGCCATAGTAATAGTAAAGAATTACTTAAGACTTAACATTTATTTGTAAAATGACTTAAGCAATCCAAGTTTTTGGGGACTTTAACGTTAAATGTGGGTTCAAGAAGTTACAGTCAACTTGTAGGGAGCCGTAAAAGAAGATTTAAGGTAGTAAAATATAAAACTGTGATGTTTTGTATACTTGCCTTTCCGAATTTTATAAAACTTGACAATTAATCAAACTTACGAAATTTGATCTAATCAAAATGCCTGTACATTTCACTATAAACACATTTTCATATGTTATAAGAGTTTACATTGGGCATGTACAGCATGTCCAACAACACACTCAGTTGCAATTGTTGACCACTAGGGGGCGCCACATGTCCACCAGAAAAGTGCAGTATTAGTGATCTGACACCAAAATGACTCTCCCAGACGACTCTCTCAGCTTTAATTAATCCATCACTTCTGATTCACATCTGTCAGGAAACACAGCTCTGAGTCTCTGGAGGAATATATCTTCCTCGTTGCTCAGAGAGGGGCATCACGTGCTAGGCAGTAATGGAGGAAGAGGAGGAAAACGATCAGGAGTGTAGATTGTAGATTTTAGGCGCTAAGCAGACAGGAAGTGGGAGGCTTTTGTTTGAGAATCAGATAAACAGTGAGCTGGATGCTGTGATGGTCCACTGCTATAACCCCCCATCAGACTCTGCAGCCTGGAATGAGCTGCAGATGTGAGACTGATTCAGCAATAGTCTGCAACTGAATTAAATAAAGAGACAAAAACCAAAACACACAGACTTTGATGCATGCTACAAGATGCAGGAAATGTTTAAAGGGGACCTATTATCCTCATTTTCAGGTTCATATCAGTATGTAGTGTCTCTACTTTAAAGAGTCCTCTCCTGCTGATGTTCAGGTGTATATCAGTATGTAGTGTCTCTACTTTAAAGAGTCCTCTCCTGCTGATGTTCAGGTGTATATCAGTATGTAGTGTCTCTACTTTAAAGAGTCCTCTCCTGCTGATGTTCAGGTGTATATCAGTATGTAGTGTCTCTACTTTAAAGAGTCCTCTCCTGCTGATGTTCAGGTGTATATCAGTATGTAGTGTCTCTACTTTAAAGAGTTCTCTCCTGCTGATGTTCAGGTGTATATCAGTATGTAGTGTCTCTACTTTAAAGAGTCCTCTCCTGCTGATGTTCAGGTGTATATCAGTATGTAGTGTCTCTACTTTAAAGAGTCCTCTCCTGCTGATGTTCAGGTGTATATCAGTATGTAGTGTCTCTACTTTAAAGAGTCATCTCCTGCTGATGTTCAGGTGTATATCAGTATGTAGTGTCTCTACTTTAAAGAGTCCTCTCCTGCTGATGTTCAGGTGTATATCAGTATGTAGTGTCTCTACTTTAAAGAGTCCTCTCCTGCTGATGTTCAGGTGTATATCAGTATTTAGTGTCTCTACTTTAAAGAGTCCTCTCCTGCTGATGTTCAGGTGTATATCAGTATGTAGTGTCTCTACTTTAAAGAGTCCTCTCCTGCTGATGTTCAGGTGTATATCAGTATTTAGTGTCTCTACTTTAAAGAGTCCTCTCCTGCTGATGTTCAGGTGTATATCAGTATGTAGTGTCTCTACTTTAAAGAGTCCTCTCCTGCTGATGTTCAGGTGTATATCAGTATTAGTGTCTCTACTTTAAAGAGTCCTCTCCTGCTGATGTTCAGGTGTATATCAGTATGTAGTGTCTCTACTTTAAAGAGTCCTCTCCTGCTGATGTTCAGGTGTATATCAGTATGTAGTGTCTCTACTTTAAAGAGTCCTCTCCTGCTGATGTTCAGGTGTATATCAGTATGTAGTGTCTCTACTTTAAAGAGTCCTCTCCTGCTGATGTTCAGGTGTATATCAGTATGTAGTGTCTCAACTGGGACATGTCTCCATGCTTTAATGTTCAAAAAGCTCTTTATTTTACTCATACTGCCTGTGCTGCAGCACCTCTTTTCACCCTCTGTCTGAAACCAGAGCCCAGTCTGCTCTGATTGGTTAGCTGACCGGCTCTGTCTGTTGTGATGCACAAAAACCTATATAACACACTACAGGAAAGAGAAACCCCAACATGCCTGATTTAAAAATGGCTAAAAAGTGAATTGAGTGGATTTACTCGAGCTCACTTAAATAAACCACATATATAAACTCTTAAACATGCAGCATTAAAGTCTCTTTCGATTCTCGTAAAACACGTTTTTCCGAGGGCTTGATTTGCCCTTCCTGTCTTGATGTTTTCTTCTGCCGTGACCTGCAGGATTAGACTGATCCACCGCTCTGCTGCAGAGAGCTCTGAGTAAATGGAGGAACACTTTGAAGACGGACTAATCTCCATGAACGGAAGTGATGTGACACGGCAGCTGTTATCTTCTGTCAAACAACTGGAACCTTATGGAGAGAACACTCGCTCTGTGAGCCTGAGAACAGATTGCATGTCGCCCCACGCTTTTAAAATTCACTTTTTAAGAGTAAATAGGGTCTTTGATTCCTCTGCTAGACATTGGTTTTTTGGAAGCTTGCAGACTTCCTATGTCCAGCCCATTTTTAGCATTGTGATGCTATGTGCTGTGGGTGTTTCTCTTGTGTAAACTGTCTAGGATTTACTCTATCCAAGTATTTATAAAGAGTCTGCAAACACTGTCTGACGTCTTGCAGCCTTATCACCACACCAGGAGACTGAAGGCGAAAAAGTAGTCCCTATTTTCACATAATTTCACATGAGTGCTGAGAAGAAGAGGCACCACAGGACTCTTTAAAGTAGAGACACTACATACTGATATACACCTGAACATCAGCAGGAGAGGACTCTTTAAAGTAGAGACACTACATACTGATATACACCTGAACATCAGCAGGAGAGGACTCTTTAAAGTAGAGACACTACATACTGATATACACCTGAACATCAGCAGGAGAGGACTCTTTAAAGTAGAGACACTACATACTGATATACACCTGAACATAAGCAGGAGAGGACTCTTTAAAGTAGAGACACTACATACTGATATACACCTGAACATCAGCAGGAGAGGACTCTTTAAAGTAGAGACACTACATACTGATATACACCTGAACATCAGGAGAGGACTCTTTAAAGTAGAGACACTACATACTGATATACACCTGAACATCAACAGGAGAGGACTCTTTAAAGTAGAGACACTACATACTGATATACACCTGAACATCAGCAGGAGAGGACTCTTTAAAGTAGAGACACTACATACTGATATACACCTGAATATCAGCAGGAGAGGACTCTTTAAAGTAGAGACACTACATACGGATATACACCTGAATATCAACAGGAGAGGACTCTTTAAAGTAGAGACACTACATACTGATATACACCTGAACATCAGGAGAGGACTCTTTAAAGTAGAGACACTACATACTGATATACACCTGAACATCAACAGGAGAGGACTCTTTAAAGTAGAGACACTACATACTGATATACACCTGAACATCAGCAGGAGAGGACTCTTTAAAGTAGAGACACTACATACTGATATGCACCTGGACATCAGCAGGAGAGGACTCTTTAAAGAGTCTGCAAACACTGTCTGACGTCTTGCAGCCTTATCACCACACCAGGAGACTGAAGGCGAAAAAGTAGTCCCTATTTTCACATAATTTCACGTGAGTGTTGAGAAGAAGAGGCACCACAAATCTTATAAATTAAAACCTAAAGAAAACACACAGATTGAGGTGATTACCACTTTGATTATACCCGTTCATTGATGAGACCGGTAAATGAAAGACTCCTTAAAGTGGCTTTTTGATTGTTTCCAGACCGTTGGATGCTGGTCTGCATTCTGCACCCACACTTACTGTAAAGCTTTGGTCTGAGAAAGTCTTTCTCACATGTGTCTGGACGACAACGCCCGGGGTTACACACACACACACACACACACACACACACACACACACACACACACACACACACACACACACACACACACACACACACACACACACACACACACACACACACACCACACACACACACACACACACACACACACACACACACACACACACACACACACACACACACACAGGGACACTTCAAAAGCAGCGTGAGGACCGGGACATCTGGTTGTACTTTGTGAAGGGAGTCCCCCGACTTGGAGTTTCTTCAGAGGTTTTTCACTCTGTCTTTTTGTTCCAGCTGCTGAGCGACAGCCTCTGAAGTCTGGAACGTTTTTCTCTGTTTGCCAAGTTTTAACACAACCAACAATAACTGGGCGTCTTACAGCTGCTCCGTGGAGTACTATTTCTTCTTTTGTATCAGTGTTTTACGAGGAATGCTAGTGACTAAACCTTTCCTTCTTTAACCGGTGTTGTGGAACTGAGCGAATGACTTCTGGTGGTTTTAAATGACAATTCCTAGTGTCGTTGCATG